TAACCTTGGTAAACTATTAGCTATTGAGGAGATGTGTAATTTAAGAAACTGCAATGAACATTGAATGCGTTCAATTGTATTTTTCGTTGATTTTTATTTGGATTCACTTATTCAGCAGATTATTCGAATACCATTTATTTATGTGAGTAGGTAGTTTCTTATTTATTCAGCTATCAACATTCATTTCAATTAAGAACCTTTTTAATAGTATTACAAGTATCACAATCTATCACTTACTCTGTCCAAATTGACTCTTCATCTCATTCTCGGCCTCCTGTTTCCTCTCCAAACCCTCGATTGTCATTCTGTGATTCTTTTGTCCGACTTGCTTTTTTCTTAACGCCATCTTCGTCCATTCAATTTCCTTTCCCTTATACTTTTAACGAGATCCTAAACTTTCGTGATACCTCTAAGGCAATCGTTAGTTCTTCGATCCCTTATATTAATCGTGGCCATCATCATTTTCATCTTCCTCTATGCGACTGCAGTCATATTCTCATTTTTTGTCGTGTCCCATGTTTCGCAGCCATATATTAACAATATGGGCAAGACATATTGGTTGAATAAACGTTTTTGAGTTTCATGGCAACACTTTTACTTCCAACAAAAAACTTTTACACTTAAAAGCGATTTCCACCCATTTTGTATTTTTTTTTCTGATTCCCGTTCCGTAATTCTTTCCATGGAGATGAACTGACCAAGACCAAGAATTCTTTAGCTTTCTCAATCATTTCCCAATGAATTTTGATTGATTGTGAGTTATTCACCGAATGTGAGCACATTATTCTTATTTTTTAAACATTCACCCTTAACACAATTTTCTTGCTCTCGTCGATCAATTCTTTGAGCATTCCTATTGAACGATCAAAGCTATGTGATGTTATTATGATGTCGTTAGCGAACGGCAGGTTCGAACAGAACTTCGCATCGATATTGATACGCTTATCATACCACTCCAAGTTATCAAGCACAACTTGCAGACAAGCACTGAACTGTATCAGTGAAGTCGTATGCCCTTGCCGCATACCTTTTGCGTTTCAAACGACATTTTTCTTTCACGTTTATGGATTGCCGGTTGAAATTCTCGGCAAATTCGTTGTAATATTTTGATCATAAGCGAGTGTACAGAAAGTCTCTGCAGTGAGTTCCACACAGCGTTAACCCCAACTGAGTGGAATGCTTTTTTGAAGTCAACGAAAATTAAGCAACGAGGGAAGTGGCATTCATGTGAATTTTCGATTAGTTGTGTTACAGTGCGTATTTGGTCAATGATAACGGAAACCGGAGCAGACGTGTCTGTGTTAAACCGGTCTGTAACATACAGACTNTGATCGTTACTTCATTTTTTGATTATTTTTACAGCACCGTGAGAGCAAATTGACAGCATTTTTGAAGAGTCATTTAAACAACAACAAGCAATCGCTCACGATCTATTCGTAAGTGTGCAATCTTCATGCGAGAGCCAGCTGGAAATCTTTTAGATAAGAAATAATGAATGTCGTTATCGACATATCTATAATATAATATATGATCGTTGTGTAATCTAATAAGCTAAACACAGCAATAACAGAGTGTGACGATGATGTTATTTCAATGAAATCTTCAACAGATGTCAATGAAATTGTTGAATTGACGAGGAAACCTGCGTGCTTTCTTTTGAACGTATTGATTCGATAGAGCGTTGGTGAGCGAAGAGAACTGATATATCATTGTTTAAAACAATATTGAATTGCTATCGATATGATACAGAGGAACGAAGTATATCAAATTATCATTCAATTTAATGACGGAACTGAGCAAAAACAGAATCGATCATAATAATACGTTGATAAATTGGTAATTTACAATCGAACTGATGTGTTCAATCGATCATTTGATCAAAACAATCAATCTTCTGTAAGTTTATTGACAGTGAAGCGCACGTAACGTAGCAATAACATCACTGAATTCATCAACATTTTCACCACTTTCATTGAAAACAACAATATATTGGATTCATTAAAAACTGAAAACAACTGAAAACAACACTTATTGAAAACAGAGTTTGGAATTTTATTGCTCACTCGGAAAAATTCTAAATTCAGCATTCAATTTTTGTTATTTGTTAAAAATCATTACGAACTTGTTATTTAGAATTTTATCACCAACTTTTTCATTTCTTCCGTTACTAAAACACATTCAATCATCAGTTAAATTATTTTGTGTACCACTTACTCGTAGTTGTTTCTTCTGTGTTTTACCATTAATTTTCATATTAAAAAATACATTTTGGATCAGTAGAATTCAGTTGCTAATGCAACGATAAGAAGAGCTTTTCAAACCACGAAAAAATGATAGGAAAGCAAAAGTGGCAATAAGAAGGCATCCAGAAATGTTGAAAATTATCTTAAAAATTTCTCAAGATGTTTACGAATGATACAAATGATCTAAAAATTTTTTTGAATGCATCTAAATCAAAAGTCAAACAAATAAAGTGACTTTAGTTTAAATTGAAATGAAGGAATATCACAATTCGAAAAAGATAAACTGTTAAAACATAACATAACGAATTTATCAACACTGAACACTGTTTGTATTATCAATTGAATGATGAATATAAGTCTGATGAATGCATGAACTTTTAGTTTATTACTCGTTATGGCACATATATGTCTTCAAGTTATCATTGGATACCACTTTCTTCATTAACTGATCATTTTTTTATGCACAGCCATTGGAATTACAGAGCCCAGGAAATTTTCGTTGTTCTCGCATCTTGTTTCGACCATCTCAGTTGAATCGTGAACATAAGAAACAGCAGTTTCATTTAGAGACAAGTTTAGCAATAAAAAAGCAACTCTGTATAGGCAATGCATCTGAAAAGCTAATTGAAGTTTATGAGTAAGTCATCATCATTATATCATGTTGTTTTGATATCAGTCTCACGATATATTCTACTGAGAGGTTGAATGAGGACAATCATATAGATGTCAACAACCTCGATTATTTTTCATCCATCCTGAACCACTCTTAGTTAGTGAGACATTGTGATCAATTGGGTGTGATACTCTCACCTTCGATCATTAATAGAGCATTCTATTTCCTGCTCTTTCCTTCTAGAGTTCTGTCGGGTTCTTAATTTTAATTGCTCCACTATTTCCTCAACGCATGAATGAATTGTTGTTGTTTGACAAAACTTCATATGTAGAAACAGTTTGATATGATTAAGAAACTTGAAAATGCAGTGCATAATATACTGGATTGCAACGCTGATACGTATACATCTGAAGGAGTTATTTTCACTCGTCATTTGCTGCACACCAATTGGACAGCAGTAGCTTTAATGAAGATACCTTTCACATGAAATGCGTTGTTATCAGAGTTACTGTTGTAACAATACCATCAAATCAGATCGAATGAAATGACTGAAATTCCAGTCAAAGACCCGCCTCAATTGATATTGTAAGCAAAATTTGTTCCTTTCTTCACGCTCCTCCCAACCATAAATTTGTACAATTAAAGCGAATTGATGACTATTTAAACAGGTTTCTTTGAGGCAGTCGAATTGGTTTCTTCAACGTAACCAACTCCAGACAATTGCAAATTGAATGTATTTTCTCGAAGTCCATCTTTCATGATCTGATATACTATTCGCTGTTTGGAATACTTTTTAAATCGAATTTTCGTACGATGTTCTTATTCATGTACGGTTTCTCATGCGGTTTCAGCCACGAATTTTGTCCAAAATGACTAAGAGTATGTCACTGCACTCTCAGTTCTCACCTCCATCTCATCTCCATAATCATCTTGATTCCTTCAATTAGTTCCTTTCTGATCTTGAATGCTTAGATCTGATATATCGCTGAAATATGAGTTGTGATAAGTCTATGTATTGCTGACATACTGATACTTTAAATCAGTGTTAATGTTGCTTTTAGGGAATTGAACTTGAGTTGGCTTCGTGCTCATCGCGAACAGACGTAATAAAAACAACAACAGTTTTATTCATTCAAAATGGATATAGTGGTTCAAGCACTCGCATATTTCAATACAACCAAGAAGGATACATCGAAATTTGATACTTTAATATCGCCATCCGCTTATAAGCAGCAGTTATTGCAGAAACGTAAAGAGTGCATTGGGTTGGTTATCGAAAAATTGCGTTGTTCAATGATAATTCATTTATTTTTATGTTTTTCGTTTTGATTCATGAATGAATGAAATACTCCCATTCAAATTATTTGATCGTGATAGGTTTTGGGAAAACTGCAATAGTCAATAATAACAATGTTAATGAATCAATTTGGTAGTAAAAATATTGAAAACACTAAAATAACGTTATTGTTAATAATAATAATGGCAGTATTAATGTAATGATAATATTTAGAAGTAAATGTCAAATGTTCTACAAAGATGATCCGTTCGTGGTGTCAAAAGCATCAATGCAATATATTTATGATGAATCTGGTCGAAAGTACATCGATTGCATCAGCAATGTTCAACATGGTAGTTTTTATCAGATTTTGATTGGCATCCGTTATCAGTCCCTGTTGAGAAGAATGGTTCTTGCAAAGTTATTAAGCAAGCATTGTGATAACGAAAATATCAATTCAGCAGTAATGATATGAGCAATAATAAATTAGTGATAATAAACATGCAAATGACAGTAGTATTGATAAAAATTTCCAGTTGGGCACTGCCACCCGAAAGTAGTTGATGCAATAACGACACAGTTATCGCTGTCCACTTGTAATGTTCGTTTTGTGAGTGCCAAATTAACGGAATGTGCTGAAGAGTTGCTGAAAACATTGCCTGGATTGGACACGGTGCTTTTTTGTAATTCTGGGTAAGTTCATCGACTTCATCTTGTTTATTCATTCAGTTTTGAATGCATTTATGTATAACGTCAATTAAAAGGAGTATGCAGATAACATCTGATTTGAATAAACCATGAGAAGCCGTTATTATGTAACTGATTTTAGATTTTAGCGGTTAGGAGTGAACATTTTATAGATCCGAAGCAAACGATTTGGCACTGAGATTGGCTAGAGACTATACTCAGCATCAAGATGTGATCGTTCTTGATCAGTGAGTACCATTTATTTCATTCCAATTTATTCACTTTGAAATATTTTACTTTCATTTTGCACATTTAGCATCATGTTCTCTCTTCATGTGTCATGCGATATCTATGGAATCGCTTTTGAAAACAATCGCTCGTGATATAAGCAATCAGATGTCGCTAATAAGTCTATGGCGATGATAATAACAAAAATAGTAACATCACAACAATGAAGTTGAATAACACTTTCAGTGCTTATCATGGACATGTAACAACAACAATGCAATTGAGCCCATACAAATTTGATCACGAATGTACTATAAAACAACCCGATTGGGTGCACGTTGTACGCGTATACATTCATTTTGTATTTCTTTTACACGTTTTCAGAATCGCTTATAGAATTCAATCTCCTAATTCTATATTGAAAAGTAAGTTGAACATTCTCGTTGCTCATTTTTCCTAGTGATTGTCGGCCTTGTTATTGTTAGAGTCGAGCCTGCCGAGTCAAAAATGTGTTGCTGTCGAGTGAGCGATTTGACTTGCAGTGTTATTGATGCAGTGGACGAATAGCTGTAAATGAACAGTGAATTTTTTTAGCGATAAAAATTTCTGAATGAATCGATTTAAGGCACCGTGTCCCGATGTGTACAGAGGTGTTCACAGACTCGCGGATGAAGATTTGAATAATCCTTCAGCACTAAGCGATATGGGTGATCAATACGCAATGGACGTGAAAAACATCATAAATAATGTTCGTTCTCATTAATACTTTTTTCATGCATTCTTTCCATTTATTACTGCACATGTAAGTATCTTTGCAGCTGCTTATTGATAAATCTTGCGCAGAAAGTGAAATATGTACTGACAGCGCGTTGATTGAAGTGAATTGAAAATTTATTCAAAGTGAAAATATTTTGCAAGATTCCTTTGCAAGATGGTACGAATGAAGTTTGTTAGAGTTACTGGAAAGTTGAATTCTATGGTCGAGAAATCACGAATGTTTTGAAATGATTTCAAAAGATGTTTTCAGATGCATGAAAACGAACGCCAACTTGCTGCATATTTCGCTGAAGCGCTACAGTCGTGTGGAGGTCAAGTGCTACCTCCAAAAGGCTACTTCAGTACTGTGGCAAAGTAAGTGTTCTCATCGTTCATTCAATTTTAATTCAGGGAAACGTTCTTCCAAAGTATCATAACCGATGATATATGCCATGAAATACTTCTGATAAGGGTTTATGTTGCTTGCTGCAAGATACCTTTGAGAAGGAAATGCAACGAGAATGGGAATTTAGTGATTTCTTGCAAAGACGATACACTGCATAAAAGTAATTTTTACAAGGGATGGCAGTTTCTTCAACTCAATATGATATTGTCAAAATTAAGCGCGTTAAGAAAAATTCTGACTATCAAAGAAACGAAAGGAGAATAAAATTGCAGATATGTGAGGCAAGCCGGAGGACTGATTGTGATCGATGAAGTTCAGACGGGTTTTGGACGGGTCGGGAACACATTTTGGGCGCATAAACTAAATGATGAAGGTATACGAATTGATTGATAACGATGAATCATTGCGTTTGATTCTTTCGGGATTTGATCAAAATCACTTACTCTGCAAGATGAACAATGAAAGTTATCATCGAACCAGAATTATTGTCATTTCCCGATCATATTTCGGGAAGTGGATGATTACCTATCCTTCATCTGGTGGTATTCGTTCTGAAATCTAGAGAAAATTTTCAAAAAGTACATATTTTTAGACAAAATGAAATTAGAAAACGGAATTTTGAAAATTCAATAGTTAATTGTCGCAATTATTGAATTTTATTTAAAGAATGAATTTGAATAGTTGTGATAAAATAAAATTTGGCTGATATAATGAAAGCGAGTTCGCGTTCACTGTTGACATTGTACACTGATATCAAGCAAGTGATATTCGAAAGAATCAAAATTCAATCACTGATTTTACTGTAGAAAGCTAATTCGATTGGTTAACAGGTGATATCTTTATAGAATTTATACCCGATATCATAACGATGGGTAAGCCGATGGGTAATGGCTTTCCAGTATCGGCTGTGGTGACACGCAAAGAAATTGCTGATACGTTGGGTGGGAAAGTTGGATATTTCAATACGGTAAGTTCAAAAGTGAATGAGTGATCAAAAGTTGGAAAAATTTTCAAAGTGATCAAATTAATTCGATGAATTCAATAAATGAGTTGTCGAAATTACCAACGATTACCAATTAGCAATGAATTTTGATTTCCGTAGTTCGGAGGTGTCACTGATGAAAAGTGTTTGTTGAAAAAAAGAATATTATAGTATGGTGGTAATCCGGTGGCGTGTGCAGCCGCATTATCTGTGATGAACGTGATCAAGGAGGAAAACCTTTTGGAGCACTCGCAAGTAATCGGTGAACTTTTTGAGAAAAAACTGAACCAACTCAAAGCAAAACATCAGTGCATTGGAGACGTAAGGTTCGTATAGATCTTCGATCTCGAGCACTCTATCAGATAAATGACACAAACAGTTCTATGGTCGAAAATCAAAAATTCGCTCGGAATCTTTAGAACTTCTATATTCTTTATTTGGATTTGTAAAAAGAAAGAACGATTTCTAAGCCCTTTTATCTCATTTTCGAGGAAGTAATTGTGTGGACGGTCCTATCTGCGAAATCCATCAAAGTTTCGGCGGTAATGCGATAATGATTGTTCTGTGATGTGACTGAAGAATTCTTTTCAGAGGTGTTGGCTTGTTCTGGGGTATTGATTTGGTGCGTGATCGTTGCAGTCGTGAACCGGATTCAGAACTAGCGCTTAGAGTTATTTTAAAACTGCGGTCACAACTTGGGGTTTTATTAAGTGTCGACGGTCCTTACTCAAATATTCTCAAAATCAAACCGCCATTATGCTTCAGTAAAGCAGATCTTGATTACGTAAGTTTTATATCGATGATTTATGCGGACACTTTCGATATAAGATGCTTCCCTTGAAGCTAAAGGAATCACACAATAATCTCACTGTATATCCATATTCTAGAAGCCTTCTTTTCACTGAGCTGAAGGATAANAGGAATCACACAATAATCTCACTGTATATCCATATTCTAGAAGCCTTCTTTTCACTGAGCTGAAGGATAAGAGATTTCTTAAATCGTCCCCTTGCACCGCTCTCATTACTGTGATCCATAAGATTTATTTTTATGTGTTCTTCATTTAAATACAATGAATGGCCAAACAAGGCATAAAGCTTGAAAATTTTAACTATTAAATGACAAAGTTATTGCTTGAAATTTGTCATTATAAGAGAATAAATGTGTTTTTAGACTGTTGACGCTATTGACGCGGCGTTGAACGAGCTCACAATAATTGAAGATCAATGACAAATGACAACACCTTTCAAGATGTCAGATCGAAATAACACAAATTTATTTTTCATGTAATTAATTTCATGTTGATAAGATGTATAGAGTTTAAATTGGATTGTATTTTGTATCGGTATGACGATATTCACTAATGTCGTCACGTATGTGTGTATCCTTTATGCTATTATGCTGGAAAGGAAACTGACCATCTCAATTCTGAGATCAATGAGCCAGCTCTGAATACTGCTTTGAATAATAATTCTGCTCATAAAGCAGTAAATTTCGAGTATAAATTTATTCGAAAACTGATCTTTGTA